TGAGCCCTCTTGTTAGTCTGCTTGTCTGCCTGTCTCCTTCCATCCCTCTCCTCTTTGCTGACCTGCCCCACCCCCTCTGCTGCTCAGTGATAACCCCTGGGAAGGAGCATCCCCTAATCTCCTCCGGCCAGGCTGCCTCAGGCCCTCACCCGCTGCCTTTTTTCTCCCAACAGACAACTGCCTGCCCTGGCAGCCATGCGACCCCCGAGGTTTCCCCGGCGTCCACCCTCCCTGACTTCCCCATTCCTCCTCCTCATCTTACTCCTTGGAGGAGGTGCATGGGCTGAGGGCGCAGAGGACCCAAATCTGCTGGTGACCGTTCGCGGGGGCCGGCTGCGGGGCATCCGCCTAATGGCTCCTGGGGGCCCTGTCTCTGCTTTTCTGGGCATCCCCTTCGCGGAACCACCCGTAGGGCCCCGTCGCTTTCTGCCACCTGAGCCCAAGCGGCCCTGGCCAGGAGTCCTGGACGTCACGGCCTTCCAAAGTGTCTGCTACCAATATGTGGACACCCTGTACCCTGGCTTTGAGGGCTCCGAGATGTGGAACCCCAATCGTGAGCTGAGTGAGGACTGCCTTTACCTCAACGTGTGGACACCATTCCCCCGGCCCGCATCCCCCACCCCTGTCCTCGTCTGGATCTATGGGGGAGGCTTTTACAGTGGGTCATCCTCCCTCGATGTGTATGATGGTCGCTTCCTGGCGCGGGCCGAGGGGACTGTACTGGTGTCCATGAACTACCGGGTGGGAGCCTTTGGTTTCCTGGCCCTTCCTGGGAGCCGGGAAGCCCCTGGCAACGTGGGTCTGCTGGATCAGAGGCTGGCACTGCAGTGGGTGCAGGAAAATGTGGCAGCCTTCGGGGGGGACCCAACGTCAGTGACACTGTTTGGGGAGAGCGCAGGCGCTGCCTCTGTGGGCATGCACCTGCTGTCCCCTCCCAGCCGGAGCCTGTTCCACAGGGCTGTGCTGCAAAGTGGTGCCCCAAATGGGCCCTGGGCCACTGTGGGCATGGGAGAGGCCCGCCGTAGAGCCACACTGCTGGCCCGTCTGGTAGGCTGTCCCCCAGGTGGCACCGGTGGCAATGATACTGAGCTGGTGGCCTGCCTAAGAACACGGCCAGCCCAGGACCTGGTTGACCATGAGTGGCAGGTACTGCCTCAAGAAAGTGTCTTCCGCTTCTCCTTTGTGCCTGTGGTAGATGGGGACTTCCTCAGCGACACACCGGAGGCCCTCCTCAATGCTGGAGACTTCCAGGGCCTGCAGGTGACTAGTGGCTGGAGAGGGTGGAGTGGCTTCCTCTGGGCCCATTCACCCACCCCCACCCCCACCCCAGGGATCCAGGCATGAGGGCTCCTCAAGACCCACTCCCAGTGGCCCCATTCCCACCTCCTCCTCCCTGAGGACTCAGACCCCAGGGTGGTCACAGGAATGGAAATGTGGGTATAGTTTCTCTTTTTCTCCACCCCTTCCCCAGACTCATACTCTCTTGCTGCGTGGATCTGGGTCTATAACTGTTCATCTCTCTGGCTCTTTGTCTGTTTCTGTCTGCCTGTCTGTCTGTGCCCCCTGTCCTTCATCCTGTCCCCCCAGGTGCTGGTGGGTATAGTGAAGGATGAGGGCTCCTATTTTCTGGTTTATGGGGCCCCAGGCTTCAGCAAAGACAACGAGTCTCTCATCAGTCGGGCCCAGTTCCTGGCCGGGGTGCGGGTCGGGGTCCCCCAGGTGAGTGACCTGGTGGCCGAGGCTGTGGTCCTGCATTATACAGACTGGCTACACCCTGAAGATCCAGCACGGCTTAGGGAGGCAATGAGTGATGTGGTAGGCGACCACAACGTGGTGTGCCCTGTGGCCCAGCTGGCTGGGCGACTGGCCACCCAGGGTGCCCGGGTCTATGCCTACATCTTTGACCACCGTGCCTCCACGCTCTCCTGGCCCCTCTGGATGGGGGTGCCCCACGGCTACGAGATCGAGTTCATCTTTGGGCTCCCCCTGGAACCCTCGTTAAACTACACCGTGGAAGAGAAAATCTTTGCCCAGCGGCTGATGAGATATTGGGCCAACTTCGCTCGCACAGGGTCAGCAGTGCTGAAGGGGAGGAGGGCCCTTGGGGGAGAACAGACAGAAAGAAAGGGTCTGAGAGAGGCAGAGAAGGAGAGATGGAGAGGCAGGGTTCACAAACAGAAGATAACAGGGGAAATTCCTAAAGAGAAAGGAGGCAAGGATGGCAAGAGATAAGGACAGAGAAAGGCAAAGTAAAGACAAGATAAACAGAAAAAGACAAAGGAGTTAATATCAGCCTGAATTTTAGAGCTGAATTAAATTGGACCTATCCCCAAGAGAGTCCTGGTAAGGTGCTGTAGGATCAGCACTGGACTGCTAACCACAAGGTAAGTGGTTTCAAACCCACCAGCCGCTTCTTGGAAACCCTATGAGTCACTGTGAGTTGGAACCAACTTGATGGCACTTAACAACCTCACACACACACACACACACACAAAAAAAAAACTCACTGCCATGGTGTCAAATTCAACTCACAGGGACCCTGCAGGTCAGAGTAGAATTGCCCCATAGGGTTTCCAAAAGCAGACTGCCTCCTCTCTGGCTGGTGGATTTGAACCACCAACCTTTCAGTTAGCCTAATATTTAGCCCACTATGTCATCAGGGCTCCTTAAATTGTACCAGTGGTGATACACACAAAAATCGCACCAGCAGTGATATACAAAGAGGCTTCAAAAAGTTTGTGGGAAAATAGAATGAAAAGATAATGGAACTTTTCCACAAATTTTTGAAGCTCACTCTATTAGCCGTGTGAAGTTCCACCAACTGAAACATCAGTTTACTTGCCCGAAGGGGAGAACAGTAAACCCAACATCAGTTGGATGCTGTCAGACTGGGCTTGGTAACTTCTTAAGGGCTCAATAAATGGTTGCAATCAATACCTTTGATGGGAGAAACACTGATGGAGAAGAAAAACTGAGACAAAGGAGGAGACAGACAGAAAGAGGAGGCATGACCCTGACTATGGGGACAACTGGAAGCCACGAGGAAAGAGAAAGAAGGGTTGGAGAGGGGGGAATGGGGCTTTCCCCGAAAGTAAAAGACGCCCAAAGTTAGGAAGTCTTTGCCGTCCCTAATTCATCGCCACTCCCCCCACTAGCAAGCTTGCCAGGGGGCTGAGCTTTCCCTTTGCTACCGCAGGGACCCCAATGAACCCCGGGATCCTAAAGCCCCGCAGTGGCCACCGTACACGGCAGGGGCACAACAGTACGTGAGCCTGAACCTGCGGCCGCTGGAGGTGCGGCGGGGGCTACGCGCCCAGGCCTGCGCCTTCTGGAACCGCTTCCTACCCAAATTGCTCAGCGCCACCGGTACGCCCGGGCCAGTCTGAACAGGGGCTGGGAGGAGTGGAGCGCCGAGAGGGCCGGCTGGGTGTAACCCCTCTTTTCTCCCCCCAGCCTCGGAGGCCCCCAGCACCTGCTCAGGCCCCGCCCACGGGGAGGCTGCCCCGAGGCGCTGGCCCAGCCTTCCCCTGTCCCTCCTTCTTCTCTCCCCGCTCCTGCGGCTGTGATTCCTTTCCCCCTCCGGCCTCAAAAGGCCTCTCTACTCAGGGATTTCCGACCGAGCGCCCGGTTCCTTTCCAAACCAAGAGACTCAAATTGAATGGGAAGGGGGAGGGGTCATCTATGACCTGTCTTAGGGATCCACATGCCTTTGTTTTTTTAAATGGAGAACCCAAACATTTTTACATACAAAATTAACCTTTGCAGCCTGAGCCTGAGGTTGGGGAGAAGGGGGGACCCGGGACTGGACAGCACTCCTGGAAGGGCTACAACTTTCAACCATTTCTCTTCTTTTCCCCACCAACCCTCTGATCCCCTCTGTCCCCTGTCTTCCGGTCATTTTCTCCTCCTCTCCTTCCGGTCATCCTCTCTGGCCCCGCGTCGACCCTCATCTTCCCTCTGGTCCTCTTTCTGCTGCCCCACGTGGTCTCCTACCTTGTCTGTGTGTCCTGTCTGCATCCGCGCCCCCCCACACATGTGACGGCACCCTGGCCACAGACACGCTGGACGAGGCGGAGCGCCAGTGGAAGGCGGAGTTCCACCGCTGGAGCTCCTACATGGTGCACTGGAAGAACCAGTTCGACCATTACAGCAAGCAGGATCGCTGCTCAGACCTGTGACCCAGGGCCTTCCCCATCCCCTACCTCCACCGCCCCCCACCCCCAAGCTCCTGTCCCACCCCGCCCTCTAGCTGATATACTATTTATTTAAGGGCTGGGATATAACGCAGATGAGCCCCAGACCCTAAGCCCCTAACTTTCCCCCGGGGCTCTCGGTCCTCTGCATGTCTCGGGCCGAGTTCCCTCCCCTGCGGTGCCTTTGCCCCTCTGGGCTGCCAATAAACTTTACAGCCACAGGAGTGTGCGCGACTGGGGAGCTGGGGTCGGGGCAGCAAGCCTGCATTTCTGGGGTGTGGGTGCTAGAGAATACGGGACAATCGGCTCCCGCCCCGCCCCACGGAACGGAGGTCGCGCCTGCGTCGTGAGTCTGGCGGGCCGCCCAGACACAGTGACCACGCAGCGGAGGGGCGGGGGCGGTGGTGCATTGTGGGAGCCTTCAGTTATCTGCTTCCGGCTGAGAGTCCCTAGAGCCCCAGGTGCCAGTCCTGCTCATAGCTAGACGGAGACGGGATACGGAGGAAGCGTTGGAGCCTGGAGTTCTCCTGGACTTAGCTCCTCACTGCCAGGAGGACGCATCTGGCCGCCACCACCCTGGAGCTGCTGAGAGACGTTCACCTGGGCCTGGCCCCGCCGCCCAGCCAAGGCTCCTCTCGCCTGGCCCTCGTCTCGGGTCACTACCTCTATTATCACTACAGCTGCGACGGCCTGGACGACCGGGGCTGGGGCTGCGGCTACCGCACACTGCAGACCTTGTGCTCCTGGCCAGAGGCCCAGTCCGCGGGCGTGCCGGAGCTGGCCGCCGTGCAGGCAGCCCTAGAGGACATGGGCGACAAGCCGCCAGGATTCCAAGGCTCCCGGAGCTGGATTGGCTGTGTTGAGGCCAGCCTGTGCCTCGCCTACTTCGGAGGGCCCCAGGGACGCCTATGCCACGTGCCCCGTGGTACGGGGCTCACGGGGGAACTGGAGCGGCTGTACTCCCACTTTTCAGGGGGCGGGGGGCCTGTGATGGTTGGAGGAGATGCTGATGCCCAAGCCAAGGCCTTGCTGGGAGTCTGCCTGGGGCCAGGCACGGAAGCCTTCGTCCTGGTACTGGACCCTCACTGCTGGAGTGCTCCCAAAAACCCTAAGGAACTTCAGGCTGCTGGGTGGGTAGGCTGGCAAGAGGTAACCACAGCCTTTGACCCAAACTCCTTCTACAACCTTTGCTTGACCAGCCGCAATGCAGAACGGGAGCAGCACCCCTGTGACTGAGGTCCCAGAAGTGACCCCCACTGACTCTTGCCACATACGCACCCACCTGTCCTCCACCTCTAAAAGGCAAAGGGTTGTTTCTTGTCAAAACTCAAAGCGGTCCAGTCCCAGAAAAGCCTGGGCAGCAATAAAGTAGCCAGTCCCAGGCACCAATGGTCCCAGCCAGTCTTTGGGAGGATTTGGGTGATACATAGCACACACTCAGGTATCACTGGGGAAGTGCTTTTATTGGCAGTAGGGCTGAACATACAAAAAGTTCTCAGAGCTGTATAGGGCAAGGCAGTCACAAGTATAGATGATACCAGGAGTGAGGAAAAATTGATGGATCAGAAAAAGTCCACATCATCAGGAGCATCCAGGTCACGATACTCCACAATGGCCCTTGGATCTCCACGAACCATTCTGTGAGGTAAGAAGTAAAAGGATGAAAGCTGAGGGTCCCTTAAAGGGAGTTTGAAGAGGGCAAGAGAAAACTCGGTCATAGTGGCTCACGCTCACCTGTTGCGGGGTTTCCCAGGATAACCCCCTTGACCTCGAAAGGCATCATAGTTCCCTCGGCCAGCACCATATGGGGCATGGGGGTATGGAGGCCCTCCTGTGGGGACTGCGGGGCGGACAGCACCAGCTATGAAAATAACCATGTGTGGAGAGATGACCACCTCACTTACATCCCAGCTAGGTTCTTTGTCCCAGCCCCATGCAACCAGAGCTCTTCCCTTTTCCCTCCCACACTTCCCTTTTACCTCCATAACCTAAAATGGGAGGCCGCGGCTGACCGTAGGGCATCAGGCCTTGGGGCGTCTGGTGTGGGTAGGGGAGTCCTGGAGTCAGGCCTGGGGGGAGTACAACAGGGACAGAAACATGAATTACTGGGGACACATGGGAAGCAACAGTTGTAGGACTCTGTCTGGCCCAAGGATGGGACAGAAGCATCTCGGGGGCTGACAGGTTCAAAGGAATGCTTATGGTGCCAAAGGACAGAGAGTGGAGCAAACCTTCATGGATCGTATCTTACTCTGGGCAGGGCCAGGGGGCTGAACCGGCTTGATCTCAGGCAGAGCTGGGCGCTTGGCATCAGTGAGGAAATTGTTAAAAAATGCCACCTCTTTCTTCACTTCCTCAATTTTCTCTGCATGCTTGTTGAAGATATGTTTGCGGACAAATTCAGGGCCCTGAATGAAGAGAAAAGGGTCAGAGCAAGGAATCTGGGTTGCCCAATCCTCGCCAGTTACAGGTTGGGCTGCCAACCACAAAGTCAGCAGTTCAAATCCATCAGCCACTTGAAAAGAGAAAGAGGCTTTCTGCTCCCATAAAGATTTACAGCCTGGGAAACTCTACCTAGGCACAAGTCCCTATGAACTCAACCGACTGCTCTGCACTGGGAGCTGGTGGCACGAGAGCTCAGTACTCCTGCTAACCACAACGTCAGCAGTATGGACCCACCGGAGAAAGCTGTGGCTATCTACGCCCCAAACTGACCACCTTGGAAACCCTGTGGGCAGTTCTACTACTGGTGTGGCATGGCTGGATAAGCACTCAATTGCTAACACAAGGTTGGCAGTACAACCCCACCAGCCGCTCCTTGTAAACACTATACAGGGTCACTGTGAGTCAGAACTGACTCCATTCAAGCAACATGGGATCACAATTCCGACTCACAGCAACCCTGCACTGAGTTTCTGACACCGTAAACCTTTACGGAAACAGGCTCATTTTTCTCCCACGGAACAACGGCTGGTAGCTTCGAACTGCTGACCCTGAGGTTCGCAGCCCGACTCGTAACCACTAGGCTACCAAAGCTCTTTACAGGATCACTAGGAGTCAGCAAGGGGTTTGGTGGTTCTTTTTTTTTAAATTTCTCCACAGACCCAATCAATCCTGTCAGAATCTGGATAGCCCAGTTTCCCTCCCCCAGGCCTTTTGGAGGCTTCCTGGCCCAACCTCATCCTCCTCCAGTTCTCTGCCATCCCAGACCTTGAATTTCTTGCCACTGAGTGGGCATAGCCACTTATCCTTGCCCAGCTCCTGGGTGTTAGAGGTGACGAATTTCTCCACTTCCTGCTCGGGGTCTTTGCGCCCCATCTTCTGGGCCTCTTCCTCTGAAAGTGACTCGCGCACACTCAGTAACGGCGTCAGCTTCTCCTCAAACGTCTTCTGCCACTCGAGTACTTCTCCATGACTAATGCGATTGGGGGGCATGGGGCCCCGGACATGGATGATGCCACAGCGGTTGGGCATCTCATCCTCGTTGGGGTATTCACACGTGTTATAGTAATCCAGGGAATGCACGATGCGTAAATAGAGGAGGAGCTTGTCCAGAACCTGAAGGGCAGTGACAAGAAGGCAGGCCAGAGCTCTAGTAGTTCTCCCCACTGTTACCCCAAGATGCTCCCACCCCACAGGGTGGAAGCAGCACCTTGATCAGCTTCTCATCCCGCTCCACATTGATTTCGGCCGGATTCCCTTCCTTTGGGGGCTCCTCAGGGGGGGGACCTCCACTGCTCCCCAGGAGCTCCTCCTCCTCAGCACTCACTTCTTCGATCAGGTAGTCAGTGATATTCTTTAAGATTGGGTTCTGCGAAGGCAGACTCTGGAGAGACAGGAGAAGGGATGGGAGGTGGATGAGCAAAGGCAGACGAGGCAGAGAGGAGCCCCAACAAGGAAGAAACCCTCACCTGACCTGTGACCTTTGCCTTATTGTTGTTGTTAAGTGCCATCGAGTCGGTTCCGACCCATAGCGACCCTGTTTCTGAGCAGCTGGTGAGCTTGCGCTACTGACCTTGCAGTTCAAACAGCTGTGCATTTGCCTCATTACTGGTCTTTATTGTTATTGTCCTACCCCAACCCACCAATGGAGACCTGGTGTGGCACTGTGGGTTAATGCCCTGGACTGCAAGTTGGTCTGAACCTCAAGGTCAGCGGTTCAAGCTCACCAACCACTCCTTGGAATCCCTATACAAAGTCACTATGGGTCAGAATTGACTCGATGGCACTTTAACGACAGCAACAGCCCACAAATGGGGTGCTGGTGTGGTGCGGTAGGATAAGCACCGGACCACGAGGTTGTCTGAATCGTAAGGTCAGTGATTCAAACTCAACAGCCTTTCTGCAGAACCCTATACAGGGTGGCTGTAAGTCAGAACTGACTCAACAGTGCTTAATACCAACCAACCCACAAATAAAGCATCCTGGGGGGTGCAAAAGTCGATCACAGAAAGTCAGCAGTTTAAACCCAACAGTTTTTCCCCTATAGGAGAAAGACCTGGTCAACGTGTCCCCATAAAACCGACAGCCTAGGAAATCCTACGGGCACCTCTTCCCTATCCTGCAGGGCCACTGTCAATCCAACTCACGGCAAACAACAGCCCACAAATGCCGAGCAAATGTGTGCAGCTCAGGGGAGGGCTCACTGACTGTTGACCGAGGAGGTGTTCCAGGCTCTGCGGCCCAAAGCTGGGTCCTGTCATCCAGTGTGTGGATCAGCTTGGCTGCCAGCTTAATGTCGTTGCGCACGATCTGCTTGTGCTGGGTGATGCCATTGATATTGCGGACGCGACGGGTCAGATCTCTGTTGACGCCAGGGCTCAGCTCACACTCCCGAAGCTGCAACAAACAGGTTCGTCTGTCAGAAGGCTTGCCCGCTGGCCACTCACCTGAGCAACGAGCGCAATGCTGGCCTCATTAGCACCAGTGTAAAGACGTCAGGTTACCCCAGAGACAATTCAGGTCAGCGTCCTCAACGGATGCAATAGGGTGCAGAATCAATGAGTCTATCAACAGACACGGGAGCCCACATGGCGCATGAAGAGCCAACTTCCACCCTCAAAACTTACTCGGATGTTCTGCAGGTTCCAACAGATCTCTTTGATATTGACACTGCGGTCAAAGGTCACCCAGCCGCGGCGGAAAAATCTACCCGTGGGGGGAAAAAAAAAATTCACTGTGGTCCAGGAGAGGCCACCAACTTTCCCCTGCATCTTCTCTCCTAGTGTCCAGGGTCACGCAGCCCTCCCTTCCTCACCTCCTCTCTGGCTGGGGCTCCGAGAGCGCCACACGCATGAAGCCTGGGTATCTTTTACAGAGCTGAAAAGCAAAGGACAAGAGACCCCACTGAGTGCCAACACAAAGGTCCACTTCTCGGTCCACCCCCCATGTCCTCAGAACCTGCCCGCCTCAGATATGGGGATCCCAGTAAAGGGTTCAAGGATGCCAGCACCTAGAACCAACGAAGCAATCAAAAGGTATACCCGTGGGAAGGGACCACCCCTTTACAAAAACAGGCTTATATTAAACAAGGAGCTTTAAAAGTTCATGGAAAATTCCATCTTTTCCTTAAATTCTGTGTTACCACGAGTTTTTCTGAAGCCCACTCGTATGCAGTGAGCCCATCCTCTCTCCAAGGAGAGAAGCCTGGCTGCTCAGGGTCTGAGTGTACTCCCCACTCACAGATATGATCTCAGCCCGAGAGATATTGGGGGCGATGTTGCGCATGAAGAGAGAGCAAGTCTTGTGCAAGGGTCGGGGTTTACACTCCATCCCTGGAGCCTCCTTGGCCTTCTCCCTTTCCTCCTCCTTGGGCTTCTCCTTCTCCTTGAGTGGATCTTCTGTGCAGGAGGCGGTGGCAGTTGGTCAATTTTGTGACTTTGGAGGGAGGACACAGAACTCTCCCCACCCCATCAATGTCACCAACCTCACCCCCATCCCCAGCGTGTGCAGCTGGAAGAGAATGGACCACCCACCAGCCTCCTCCTCCTTCTCCTCAGCCTGGCCGCCTTCAGACTCCGACTCCGACTCCGATACACTGCCTTCATCAAAGCTGTCATCACCACTCTGTTTTCGGTTCCGCTTCTTGCTGCTCTGTGGGGGCCACAGTACGGAAGGACAGGTCAGAACCACAGGACCTGGCCCTGACACCTGACCTCACATAGGAGAAGCCTACCTTTTTGGCTTCTTTCTCAGAGTCTTCCTTCTTCTCTTCCTTGTCCCCATCACCCTCAGGTTTCTTAGTTTTGTCATCATTAGAACTGTCATTCTCAGCCTAAAGGACAATCAATGTGGATGACAATCAACTTGGATGTCAACTCTCCCATAAGCCTTTACCAGACGGCCCCACCCCTCTACCGGTCCTCACCCACACAATACACAGCGCCCCACTTCCCGCGCCCCCCACAGCACTAAAGCACCCCACTCCTAGCTTTTCTCCCTCAGACCTGTTTGCCGTCTTCTTTCTTGTCATCCTTGTCGTTGACTTTCCCTTCTCCGTCCCCCAGGCCTGGCCCAGCCCAGCCTTCCTCCTTCTTGCTGGGTTCCCCCGGCTTTCCAGCTTGTTCCTCCTCCTCCTCGTGCTCCAGGATGCGCAAGTCATTCTCAGTGCCTCCTTCCATCTTAATCACAGCTACAACACGGAGGGCAGAGCTCACCACCCGGGTCCTTCACCTCCAGCCTCTGGTCTCCTATCAACCTGCTCCCTGGGCACCAGGCAGCCTCCACCCTCAAGCCACCCCTCCAAACCCACACACCAGCATCCAGCATCTTGACAATGGCATCCGCTTTGTCTATGTCCAGGAGAAGGTTATCGAACCAGCCACTCTCCATGAGAGACAAGAACACCCTCAGTCGGTTTTGCAAGCCCCCACGGGCCTCCTGCCGACGCTTTCCCACCTCATCTGGGTGGTACTTAGACCGAAACCTGGGAAGGAAGCGGGGAGGGAAAAGACAAGAGAGTCACTGAAGGCCAGCCCCAGGATGTGAGGGGGGCCTGGGGAAGGCAGAGCATAGGCCCCATCCTCTCAGACCCAAAGACATGACAGCAGAGGAGGGGAGAGGGGCCCACCAGAACCACCCCGTCAATCCCAGAGGGAACCCGAGAACGTGCTCTAAGAAGATCTGGGGGAGAACCAGGAACTAAGAGCTCTGGATTAGGGAAGAAAAATTACTATGGGGAGGCCAGCGTTACAGAGGTGGATTTACTGCCCCAAGTCTTGGGAAATAGGAACTTAAAAGGTATCATCTCCCAAAGCATAAGAGAGAACGGCCCCAAAAAACCTCCCTCTTCTCTTGCCAACCCCAAATTCCAGTCATTACAAGAACTGTTCCCTCCAATGCCCTCCATCCCTAAGGGGAAACCAAGGGAATTCTGAAATGCACCAGGTAGAAAAAAAAGACAGGATATATCTTTCTCCCCCCTTAGAAAAAACAAGCAAGATGGTGAGGAAACAGGGAAAGGTCAAAGGGGGAAAAAACCGCAGTGCCCTCATAACCTCCTGGGAAGAGAGGACAAAGAGGGGTAGAGAATAAAAAAGATTTACAACAGGACCTGGGGTGGGGGTGGGGGATGGGAAATCAGGAGTAGGAGCAAGAGGGAAAAGGGTGATAAATTCCCAGAAACTGAAAACAAAGGGGAAGACCAGACAGAGAGAAAGCGAAAATACAGAGTGAGGAGTGTTAGGGGCAGAAGAGGAGCAGAGAAGGAGTGACAGTAGAGACCGCGACAAGGACAGAGACAGACAGAACAGCACCGCATGGTCAGCGGAAGAGGACAGGAAACGCCGCAGGCATCACCTCCAGGATCTTTACCTTGGCTGCTTGGTCAAACAGAGCTCAAGATATAACTAGCCGCGCCCAGGGCCCATGCTGGCTGGTGGGCTGCCGGCTGGCTCCTGGCTGGGGCTTCCCGGCCCGGGTGCCCCACCCCCGCGGGACTTCGCGGTGGGGGCCCTGACTGACTAGCTGCCTGAGCAATCACATTCAGCTAGACCACTGCATTGTGCACAGCGGTGCCCTGCCTGTCTGCCTGGCCGGGGCAGCGCGGCTCAGCCCAGTGGGGCTCATGTATGGGCTGGGTATGGAGGGGTGGAGGTGGGTTTGCTCCGAGCTCCGTCGATGAGCGGGTGTAGTTCCCAGTTCTGGCTCTTTTCAAGGAGAAGGAGCAGAAAGAGGATGAGGAGGAGGAGGAGGAGCAGGAAGGGGGGAAAAGATGGTTGATTAAAATTAAAACATCCACAAAAGGAAAAAAAATTAAAATTCTCTTTCTGTCAAACGACCCTGAGATCTTGGATTTTCTTGTCTGGCTTCCCTCGTCGGTTTTGGGAGGATGCCACAGCCACACAGGGTCCCAGCGATCAGGAATGGCAGCAGCCCCAGCAAGTGGGAAGCCGTCTGTCTGCTGCCCCAAGGGGCCAGGTGGCCTCAGGCCTACAGCCTGGAGGTGTCCCACTCACTAGGGACAGCTGGGAAGGGAGTGGGGGCCATGGCAGTTGTTGGAACTGAGGAGACCCCATCAGCCAGTGCTGTTGTTATACATCCCAGCCCCCACCCCCCAGGAAGTTCTGGATTGGGAAAAACAGGACGAGACCAGGGTCGCAAGCTCCACTGGCTGGACCAGGGGAAGCACAGCAGAGAAGTGAGGGCACTCACCACTCCTCATCTTTATGTGCCAGGAAGAAATCCTGCATCTGCTGCCTCCGGAAATCCAGCTTGTAGTCATTATAGCGTTTAACGGCCTCCGTCTCATCCACAGAGTCGTCCAAGGACAGAAGGAACTCCTTGAAGGTCTTCATGATGGGCGGCGGCACACCCAAATCAATCTCTGCGATGCTGCCCAGCCTGAGGGGGGCCCGGTCAGGAGGTCTTGGTTGTGGGGGAAGAGGGTGGGGGGCTGGGGGGGCCGAGGTAGCCAGCTGCCCTCTTCCTTTGCCCACCAGGGACATAAACCCAGACATCAACTGCTAGCCCCCCCCACACACTCCTGGGTTGCACCCTGACCCACCCCCCAAGCTATCAGCTCCCTTCTCCCAGGACCCCCAGGTCTTTACCTGGCCTGAATAGGCAGGACATGATGCTGCATGATGTGGACGTCTGGGTGGCCCCAGGGCTGAGGGGGGCCATAAGTTGGGCCCCCACCCCCCCCAGCATAGGGCATCTCATAGCCACTGTGGTATGGGTCAGAACTGTGCTCATCCCTGAGGGTGGGGGACACAAAAGTCAGACAGAGAAGGTAACCGTTCCTCCAGAACACTGGAGGATGAGACAGAGGGAGGGCAGCTAGGGAGGAGAGCTCACACCCAAGGGTTTAAAGGGACAAAGAGGCAATGAGCTTGTGGGAAGCTTCAGCAGAGATGAGTAAGAGACAGCTGAGCCTAAGGTGACCCAGACAAACGACCGCCATCTCACCAGTCTCTCCTCATGCGCTTCTGTGGAGGGCTGAGCTCATGACGGGGTGGAGAGAAGCGTTCTCGCCGATTCCGGTCATAATCACGGTATTCACCACGACTCCGGCGCTCCCGGCCTCGGTCCCACTCGCTGGAGACAAAAACGAGTAGTAGTAACTAAAGCAGCAGCTGAATGCCCTCCTGGAAACACCAGATGGTGAAGAGATGAGTTTCTTTTGCCTTGGTTCTTTGGAAAAACAGCTTGGGAGATTTTTTTCCTCTAAGCCCGAAGGTTGGCAGCAGTTCAAACCCACCAGCTACTCTGTGGAAACCCCAAACAGGGTGGCTATGAGTCAGACAAGCGCCCTAAGGAGTTATCTTGTTTTCCATCCCAGAGGGTTTGTTACTTTTACCCAGGGGATCCCAGGGACTGAGTTACATTTCTAGGATAAACTGTACATAACCTGATGGTTTGCTACTTTTGTCTGGCCCCGGGCAGCAGTAGACCCTCGCAAGAATTGGTAGATTTGCTACGCTAACCATGGCTAGAAAACCCACCCATTAAGATTGAGCTCTGGTAGCACAGTGGTTACAAATCGGGACGCGAACCTTAAGGTCAGCAGTTCAAAACTACCAGCTTTTCCCTGGGAGAACGATGAGGCTTTCTGCTCCCATAAAGATTTACAGTTTTGGAAACCCTGTATAGCCTCACAATGAGTCAGTTTCCACTCCACATCATATAACCAACCACTACCACCAAGATTGAGTAACTTGTAGCGATTGCTCTATTTGTGGTTCTGCTGGGAGGACCAGGCCTTGAAATGGACAAAGCTGTTTATATAAACAGAAACCCCCACCGAGGTTTCAGAGCCATGAGAAAAGGATGTTTCAATTTCAATCAAAGTGGTCTTTCTGAATCACAAATCTGAACCTTCTGCTCAAAACCTGGATTCCTAGTGTCACGCTGGGCAATTTCCAACTGCTCTGGTCTCAAAGTCCCCATATATCCGTAAAAAGAGTTTCTGGTTGTATGGATTATATCTATGGATGCTTATAGTCCAAATTAAAAGAAGATGTTAATATCTATTCACTTTTAAATTACATACTCAAATTATATGCTTAAATTAAAAATGACTACAGGTATCACAAGCTTCTCAAAAGTTTGCTTTCCAACACTTCAATGTTTACTAAAGATCTACATTAATACCTGTTTTCACTAAAGAAAAGAAATACAAGCAGGATTTTTGCTTTTACAAAAACAGGAAAATGGGAAACTATCCACCAGTGTTTTGCAGCAAATGTTGCCAAGTTCTTTCAACATTATTTCTACTTTCTTTGTTGTTGTTAAGTGCTACTGAATCCCTTCCGAATCATAGCAAACCTGTATAGGGTTTCTGAGCAATGGCTTGGCTGGTGAGTTTGAACTGCTGACCTTGACGTCCAGTACTTACCCTGCAATGCCACCCTAGGACTCCACTTCTACGTTATACTCATTAATGTATGAGTTCGCTTTTACTATGAGTTAACGCCATTGTAAGTTTTATGTATGATTTGTTGTTGTTAAGTGCCATTCAAGTCAATTTCAACCCAGAGCGACCCTGTATAAAGTTTCCAAGGAGCAGCTGGTGAGCTTGAACTGCTAACCTTGTGGTTCAAATCCATCCTGCAGTACAGCACATTAACCCAAGGTGCCACACCAGAATTTGTTTGTTTTGTTTGGGGGGGAGGGGGGGTCAACACTCAACATTTTTTCCCATGTAGATTAGTGGTAATTGTATCTTCCCTTTATACTTCAGTTTAGGTTAGTAGGAACACTCTTCTTTCAAACAGCAAGAGAAACTTGTTTCTGAAAATATTTGTGAGAAAAGTAGCATTGTGTCACATTTTGCCAATCTCTTCCAAACCTAGTTTAACAGAAGACAGCTGGGTTCTATTATATGCGTCTACCCTCAGTCTGTAGCACCAAGCTGTTTTGGTAGACATGGATACAGAACACCCAGACGTACACTGCCACGGAATTGGGAAAGGGGAGTATTTAGCAGTCTTTTCAGGTGACTGTGGACAACAGTCTCTGATACATCCCAAAACAAGGGGTCGTTTTATAGGTACATTGCAATGTGGCCTCTGAAATCCTATCAATTTGTACACTAACAAAGTCAACTGTTCTAGATTGCTCTTTTCATGCATTTTGACACATTTTATTATACAATATCAAAATACCCTTTAACCAACATTACCAGCTATTTAGACATGTATTGAAGAGTCTAATTTTATTTTATTTTATTTTTTTACTGTGAGGTGTTAGGAACCCAGGTAGCACAATTGGTTGTATGTGGGGCCAAAAAAGGTCCGTAGTTCAAATCCACCAGCTCTGCAAACGAAAGATGAGGCTGTCTGTTTCTGTAGAGATTTAGTCTCAGAAATCCTCAGAAGCAGTTTGACTCTGTCCTATGAAGGTTGGCTATGTTTCCAGGGCACTCACAACAAAGATGCCAGAAGTTTTATCCCCCACTGCTATTTAGCACCATCAGAGTTAAACATCAGTACAGTGAAAGCATCAATAATATCCGAATATGATTGTTCAGTTTTAATCTCACAGACCTCCTGAAGGGGCCTTGGGAACCACATTTTCAGAATCACTACTTAAACAGAATTTGTGCTGTTTTCTGCATACAATGTATACCAGCAGCTCTAAGATGTTCACTCCATCTGTGTTTGGGGATTCCCACTCAGCCTTCCAAGTCGGATTCAGTGCCACTTCCCCAAGTTCTCCCAGACAGAGGACTCTAGTCTCTTCTTTCAGAAGAATTTTCCCTACAGGTTTTTAATGATGTTCTTGTATGTATGCTCATTTGCAGCACAGTGCCAAGGTCACTACAAGCACTCCTTAGGGACAATTACTACAGACCACATCTTATCCATGTCAGAACATCTATAATTTTTTCCCAAAATTCTTATGGGTAAAAACAAAAAAACCCACAAAAAACAGGGTTTTCACATTCACATTCAGCTGAATGACTCACTACATGCTCCCAAATGATACTAGATCAATAAATACTCTATCACAATCATCTCCAACTCTGTATGACAATCTGCTTCTAAATTAGGATCACATGCAAGACTCTCAGATTTAAAAAAAAAAAAAATTCTTTCATTATTTCCCCTTAATTTAAACTGAAACACTATTTGACATTTAAAGCAAATACCCTAGCTATAAAAAACCCTCAAGAACAAGCCTAGGAAACCAACCAGCTGATTCAAATCTAAACTATTAACTTAGCAATGGCCAAAGAACACTTTGAACTTTTAGACAAAACAAGTATAAGGAATTTTATCCTATCTTTCCAGAGAACTAAGGTGTCCTGGTGATGCTAACAGTTTAGCTTAGCATTTAGCTGCTAACCGAAAAGTCAGTGGTTCCAACCCAGGAGTCACTCCATCAGAGAGAGATAAGGCTGTTTGCTGGGGAAAAGATTTACAGTCACAGAATCCCTAGATGGGGTCACTAGGGGTCAGAAGGAGTCCTGGTGTGGCGCTGTGGGTTAATGCTACAGACTGCAAAGCCATTTGAACTCCAAGGTCGGTGGTTCAAACTCACCAGCTGCTCCGACTCATAGTGACCCTGCACAGGGTTTTCCGTGGCTGTAAATCTTTACCGAAGCAGAAACGTCATCATTCTCCAGCAGAACAGCTGGTACTTTCCTACTTTCCAACTGCTGGTAGTTGGAACCAACCTTGAGGTTAGCAGCCGGATTCGTAACCACTATGCTATGTAATCACTAAGGTACCAGAGCTCCTTCAGAAACCCTATACAGGGTCGCTATTGGTCGGAACCGACTAGACGGCAGTTAACAACGAGTCAGAAAGGTCTCAGTGGCAGGGGGGCTTGTTTGGGTTTGGGTTTGCCAGGGAACTGACAGGTTTCCCATTGAATTGGTTCTGACTCACAGCACCCCTGTATAGGGTTTCCGAGGAGCGGCTGGTGATCTTGAACGGCCGACCTTGTGGCCCAGTACTTTATCCTACGGCGCCACATGAGGATTCCATCAAATTAAAAAGTTAATTTTACAGTATTACTGTTTTTGAATCAATCACTGAGATGTAATTTACAAACAATAAAATGCAGAAATATTAAAAGTACAAATACGTTTTATATTTTAATTTCCAGATTTATTCCTCTGATCTTCAGGACCGTTAAAAAATTTTTTTTCTTTTAATTAGCAGATAGATGTGAAGGGGTTTCCAAAATTCTTGTAGAGGAAAATGGAATGAAAAGTACATGAACCTTTTCCATTAACTTTTGTGAAAAATCAGTTCTAACAGTACAGAGTATTTCTTTTACAAGAGAAAATACTCTTGAGAGCAATTTGAAAATATGCCGGCAAGAATGCTAATAGAAAAACTAATTTCCTTTATTAAGTACTTCCAAAGAGCTCTGGTAGCATAGTGGTAATGAGTCGGGTTGCTAGTCAATGGTCAGCAGTTTGAAACCACCAGCCTTTCCGCGGGAGAAGGATGAGACTTTCTACTCCCGTAAAGATTTACAGCCTCGGAAAACCCTATGCAAGGTCACTATGAGTAGAAACCGACTCCAGGCACACACCACCAACAAAGTACTTCCAAATTTCAAGAAAAATAAGCATACAGTTCTTTAGCCAAAGCATAGGAGATGAACCCAACGAAATCGACATTTTCAGCCAACCGCACAGCAGGTGAACCGAAGGAAACTGACATTGTTGTAAAACTTGGCGAGCAACCGAATATGGTCCATCCTAATAAAATTACAGGGGCAGCAACGAGGCTGGGACGGAAGAGAAGGAAAGCAAAACCTCCAGTAACCGCAACCAGCGTCTCACCGGTCATTCCAATCGTCCCCTCGCCGTCTTTCGTCTCTTTCCCGAGAACGGTCATAGTCGCTGCGCTCTCTCCGAAACTTGTCCCTGCGCCTTCGATCGTACTCGTCGTCACTGTCACCCATAACGCGACCTGCGGAGGCCCGGGGGCGGCACAAGAACAAGGGCCAGGGGTCGCCTCCCTCCCTCCCACGGTGTGCACTCCACGACTCCCGCCATCCGAGCCCCTCTTGCCCGGTAAACGGATGCGATGGATGGCTCCAACACTTCCACTCGTCCCCAAGAGCCTCCCTGCTCCACCCTCGGCGGCCGAGATCCGACGGCCTCCTCCACGGCCCCGAGGCCCCCTCCCTCCCGGTCGAACCGGCGCTGGCCCCGCCCCTCCCCCCACCTGGGCGCGGCGGCGGTGGTGGCCGTTAGTCACGCGCTCGGGCCGACTTGGTCTCCGAACGACTGAGGCCCGCGCCTTCGCTCAGGCGCGCGACGACCACGACGCGCGGGGTGAGAAGGAGACGCAGGATTTTCAACCCAGGGGCCCGTGGAGACTACGAGAACCTAGGCCAGCACAAGAGGATGGGGAGTCGGCGCGCGCTATTCGCGCTGCGCTTGCGTCACTTGCGTCAAGGCGCAAACTACAGCCCGTGCGCCGAACTGGAACTAGCAGAGCGGCGGGTCTAGCAAAGAATGATGGGAAGAGGCGGGGCTAGGAGGTCTCGCGCGCTTTGCACAACGAGAACTGCAAGAGCGAAAGAAACTACCGTAGCCGAGATAGGCCAGTCGTACCCTCGGGAGTGCCGCAAAGCCCTGTGGGCGTGAAGGGAGTCTGTGCCGCTCAAGTCGGGAGTTAGGGCTAATTCGTGGCAGGCTTTGAGAGGCCCTAACGCCGACCTTTTTATTCAGTTGTTTCGCCCTTTGGGCTGTGAATGGGATTGGTGATGCGAGCGTTGAAGAGAGAGCAACCATTTTAAAGTCTCCTCCCACCATTTCGTGCTCCGCCCAAGAACCCATTTATTGTAGGACAGTTGGTGCTACCTGCAAACCCTGTGTTCCTACTCTTCCACAAAAGCGACTTTGAGCAAAATTGCCAGATCTCAGCCTCATCTCCAGCTTCTGTGGTTCCCTCCTGTATACTGGAGTCCTGACCAGCTTGCACCCCATATAAGCGCACCCCATCCAGTGGTTTGTGCTGGCTCACCCTCACTAAAAAGAGGGTCGTCATCATGTGCCAACCATGGCACCCTGTGTAGGGCTTCGGAAAGCATTTGGTGGCTTTGAGCCACCCACCTTCTGGTTTCCGGTTGATTCCGACTCAGCGACCCTAAGAACAGCGGACGCAACCCCCAGGACTAAAACTAGTTTCTCATCTCGGATTTGCCATTTAGGAAGCAGACCATCCTGCAACCTCCCTTCTAGAATTCTCACAAGTAAAAGGACAGGCTGACACCATGGGTGACAATCAGAAGAAACCATAACTTGAAAGTAGGGGGTTGTTATTTCATAATTCAAGGAAGAAGATATAGCAAGTGGTGACAAGATTGTAAAGGAGAGGGCGGTCAAGCAGAGCAGACACTGCCGCAGGTGCTTCTGGGAAGACTCAGCAGTCGGTGGTCACGGTGGCTGAGAGCTCCTGGATGCGCCAGGCACTGCAGGACTTGCACAAAATGTGCCCATCCAGTGGGTAGCAGCCTTGACACTCACCCTCGGAAGACAGCAGCAGCCCACACTCCTGTTGGGAAGGAAGCAACAGGCTTTCATCAGCTCTTGTCCCCTGGATTCCTTCCCCCAAACCCCCTTCTCAGGCCCAGGCCCCCTGACCTCACACTTGTAACAGCCAATGTGAAAACTCCGATCCAGGGCGACAATTCGCACCGTCTCCTCCTGACCTGGCTCAGGCATGATGGCCCTGCCACACACAGAGCATCGGGGAGCAAATTTCCTGGGGTATAAGGAAATCAATGAGACTGTGGAGACCAGGGTTGAAGCCCAGGGAAGGTGGGGTACAGGAGAGGCCTTGGGAACTGGAGAAGGAAAGGATAACAAAAAGGAGGCAGGGCCAGGTTGGAAACAGGAGCAACTGACACGGGTTATGAGGGAACGGGGAGGGAACTGACCTGTGGAAGTCCTCAATGCAGTGGATCTGGCTGGTGGCATCCACCGTAAAGGGAATGCCATCGAGTCCACGGTGACACACCACACAGGTGAAGCAGCCTGGATGGTAAGCCTTCCCCATGGCCCGCAGGATCCGGTCCAGGATGGGCTGGGAGCACGTGGAGCACTTCTCCAGGGTGGCCTGTAGGGAAGCAGGCCAGAAAGATCTTCAGGCATCCTGCCAGCCTACCCATTTACTATTGACCTAGCCTCCTGCTTGTGAGTCGGTGAAAGGTGAACCTGAGAGGATCTCAGTTCAAGACCTAGCACTGCAGCTGATGGAACAAGTTATCGAACTTCTCTGAGCTACTGTTATGTCGTAAAGCCAGATCTGACTCATAGCAACTCTGAATAGGGTTTCTGAGTGCCTGCTGTGGGTTTGGTGGTTAGCGTCCATCTCTGAGCTGTGTTCTTGGTGGTTATTGCTATGTGCCCTGCAGTCAGTTCCGACTCATAGCGACCCTGGACAGGGTTTCCGAGGCTGGAAATCTTTACGGGAGCAGAAATTCTCATCTTTCTCCCGCAGAACAGCTGGTAGTTTCGAACAGCTGACCCTGAGGATAGCAGCCCGATTCGTAACCACTACACTACCAGAAGTGCCGTCAAATCAGTTCTGACTCACAGTGATCCCTTGTATAGGATTTCCAAGGAACAACTTGTGGGTTTCAACTGCCAACCTTGTGGTTCCTGATTTAGTGCTGATCCTACAGTGCCACACCAAGAGCCCTCTCTGAGCTATGCTGTTGTTATTAAGTGCCATTGAATCAATTCCAACCCACAGCAACCCTATATAGGGTTTCTGAGGAACAGCTGGTGAGCTTGAACTGCTGACCCTGTAGTTCAAAGCAACTTTGCAATCCAGCACATTAACCCACAGCACCATACCAGAACTCCCTCTAAGCTATGTTGTTGTTAAGTGCTGTCGAATCAGTTCGACCTACAGCGACCCTGTACAGGGTTTCTGAGGAGCGGTTGGTGAGCTTGAACCCCTGACCTTGTGGTTCAAACTGACTTTGCAATCTAAGGCATTAACCCACAGAAGGAATCAACCGCAACATCTGCCTCACAGCATCTGCTGATGTGGGAATTTAACTCATTCCCTTAAATGTAAAATGTTTCATACTTAAAGAGACATTGTCCTCCCCCAGCTTTGAGTCCACTTCTTTTGGGATTGACCATCGTGTTCCCACCTCGCATACATGCCCCCACCTTCTGCTGCTCAGTCCCGCAGTCCCAACCACTCACCACATAGCAGCTTTCACAGTAAGCCCTCCTCTCCACAGCATAGAAATGCTGGCCCCGAAGCTGGGCCCGGCACGTAGAACAGACAAAGCAGCCGACATGGAAGACTCGGTCAAGGGCCACCACCCCGGCCCCATCCCCGACCACATCTTCTCCGCAACCCCCACAACGGCCTAGAGATAGGGGGTACAAAGTCAGTCTACACAGACCCCATTGTTCCTCTGCCTCTCCGGTATCACCTCCCCCTTATCCTCTCCACCACCCCTGCAAAGGCAGCTCACCAAAGTACTCCCCGCTGGGTGGGTGGTTCATGTCATGCACCAGTTTCCTGGTCAGCCTCTCAAGCTCCTCCTCAGGAGGCTGGTTCAGGGGGACCTGGGATGTGGGAATCAGAGTTTGGTCCTATCTCTGGCTCCCAGCACTGTAAAGGTCCCTGGGCAAGACACGCCAGTCAATTCAACCTGGAAAGGTCATCTGACAGAATCTCAGCGCAAGGCCAGGGCAAGCACCCCCAAAGAGCCCAGAAAAACTAGCCCTCCCTTCTGGATTTTCCCCGTTGGGAAGCCAAAGTTCTGTAACTGTGCTCAGAAGCCAGGCCATTAACTACCAGTCTCAATCACCCAACCAGTAAGCAGTTGTCTATTGTTGTTGTTGTTGTTGTTAAGTGCCATCGAGTCGGGTCCGACCCATAGCGACCCTGTACAGGGTTTCCGAGGGTGTAAATCTTTACGGGAGTAGAAAGCCTCATCTTTCTCCCGCGGAGCGGCTGGTAGTTTCGAACCGCTGACCCTAAGGTTCGCAGCCCGATTCGTAACCACTACGCTACCAGAGCTCCTTAAGCAGTTGTCTATAAGCACCCAAAATCCCAGTGCTGAAGACTTACCTGGGGCCCATACCTGCCTCCTCTTCCTCCTGCAGGGCCAGGGACCCCAGCAATCTTCTCTTTACCCGCTGGCTCTGGTTCCCTGTGGCTCCTATAGCCAGATCCCCAGACTTCAGCTCTGCCTCCGAGAGGAACATGGGGGCCCAGGAGGGGCCTAGAAGCCTGAGAGGCCCCCCTCCTGGGTGGACCACAGCCCCTCACTGGCTGGGCCACCTTCACTTGCACAGGGAAGGCAGGGCCCGCTGGGGTGCTGGCAGTAGCATACGAGGCTGGAGTGGGACCCCCATAGGGGGATGCTGGGAGCGGCATGGCTGATACACCCCCTCCGTTCGGCTTCAGGGAGCCCATGGGGTAGGCAGGGGGCTCATAAGTCTGGGGAGAAACAGACCGCAAGGACTAAGCAAGGCCCATTCCAACTCACACATCTGTGGACACCCATGTGTGGCCCCAAGATGGGCCCTCCAGTGGCTGGCTGACTGGTAAGCACTCTTGCCCCGACTCTCCATGCTGGGTGGGCCTCTCTCCACAGGAGTAAGGTGGAGGCCCATCTTTCCCTGCTTTTTGTTCCATCTCCAGGGGTCTACCCCCATTCCAGGCCATGTTTGGGCACATCTGGCTCCCACACCCCAAGCAGCCAGAGTCCTCCAGAGCTCTTCAGGGGAGAGCATTCCCCGAGGTGCCCTGAGACTGCTAGCTCCCCACAGAGCAGGTAAGGTGGGCCCTGGGCCCAGGGTGGGGGCAGCAGAGAAGGAAGTAGCATTACCTCTTCTCTCCACTCTTGCCCCCTCCCAAAAGCAGGCTGGGACCTCTGACCCCAGAAGGGGAGAAGAGGGGCCCTCTTGGCTCTCAAATCTTCTCCCCCAGATCCACTTTTGGCATCTTCACCTCAGTCTAGCCCCACCACACACACATACCCCTTACACAGAAGTAGGCCAGTGGGAGGGGGGAGGGGAGCCAGGACAGAGTCACCTGTCGGTCTGGTCCCCGAGGTATGTGACCACGACCCCCATCCAGGTCAGCCAGCATGCTGGTCAGCGAATCTATCTCAGCATCCAGACTTCGTGGGCATGAGCCCCCTCTATCTGAGGAGGGCCCCTGGAGATGGAGCAAAAGCAGGGAGAACCCCAGTCACATCTTCTCTCCGGCCCCAGGGGTGGCCCCCCACTCCTAGTACTCACCTGTGGGCGCTGGGGTGCTCCATGGGACCCGCCCCAGGCTGGCCCCCGATCATCCAGTCCCCCTGCAGCCTGGTAGCACTGCTCAGATGGGAGGGGGCAAAAATTGACTCTGGGGTGGGGCTGGAGTGCTGAGGTGAGGGGAAGAGAGACCAGAAGTGGGATGGGGAAGCTGATGAGGGGGTCTCAAAAGGGCCCCTAGGGGCTCCTCCCACCCTGGGGTCAGAGGATGGAGGTGGGCAGGAGTTCCCAGGCGTTCGGGCAGCGGACGAGTGGAGGGGGGTGTTGGGCAGTCCCACACCTTAACTGCAGCCTTACCTGCTCCGTGGGCCGCGGACGGCCCGGGGGAACCCCGGGGAAACGCTCTCCCCTGAGAGGCTCTGGAGGGCTCGGGCTGCTTCGGAGGGAGCCAGGTGGGCCCAGACATGGTCTGGAACGGGGATCTCCTCAGAACCCCGGATCTCTGGTCTTGACCCCGTCTTCCGTCCCTCACCTCGTTTGGAACTCCAGGAAAGAAACTTTTTCTAACTTTTTTTTTTTTTTCCTTCTCTTCCTTCCCAATTTTGGGGACGGCCACGCCCCCGATGATGTCACCGCATTCCTGGGGGAGGGTCACGTGGCCCCCTAGGCCCTAAACCTCAGTCCCTCCCTCCCAGTCGGCCCTCCTGCAGGGAAGGGAGTGCCGTCCTGGAACCCGCATGGGCAGCCTCCAGCTCTCCTGAATGCCCCCAACCCTCCTTTCTCGCAACCCAGGCTCTGTAACCCCAAGTCCTGCACGCGGCAGCCTCCCTGCAAGGCCAGCTCCAGCACCCCTCTTTTCCACATGCCAATAAGGACTTCGCCCTCCCCAAGGGTCCCTGCCCCCACCCCCCACTCCACCTACGGGACGCTCCGCCCTTTCACCTGCCCCGCCAAGCAGTGTTCAGCCAGCCGGTAGTGTTTGGGGCTTTTATTTACATTCAGCAGTTAGAAAAATAAAACACAACAAACACATCACATCCTCACAGGTCAGTGAACCAGCCAGCAATGAGGGGAAACTGAGGTAGCCTACAGTCACAAGAGGAGAGCCAGCCCCTCCCATCAAGGCACCAGTGAAGGAGGAGGGGGGCTGCTGACTGCCCCCTCACAGTGGGGGCTTTGATGCAGAGCTGCCCTACCAGTGCACAAGGGTCTCACTCGCAATGGAGAAGGGGTGCCCGGGGGCCAGACCCCATGACATCTCCACTGAGCTAGTCCCAAGTACAGGGCGGGCGAGGGGAGGCCTTTGGTCCTCCACATCCACTAACCAAGAGGAGTGACTGGGCCTGGGTGGGCCATGTCTTCCCACCACCAGGTACGGGGTGGCGTTAGGCATCAGAGATCAGTGCAAGTGACAGGGGTGACACCATGAATGAGCAGCGTGGGACCCAAGTCGCGGCTCAGGAGCTCCAGCAGCGTCAGGTAGTGAGAGTAGCGGGCAGAGTCAGCGGGGGGCCGAGGCAGGTAGAGGAAGGTCAGAGCGGTGGCAGGTCCCTCCTCCCCATCCCCACCTTCGGGCCCACCAGGCCCTTCCCCTCGACTGTGCCCCTGCTGGGCTCGAACCAGGGCGTTGGCACTGCATGCCAGGGCCTCGACCTCAGCGTCTCCCCGCCCACTATTCTCAAAGTCCTCCTCCAGCTCCCTGGCCCCAGTGCCCTCGCCCCACACTACCTCCTGCACCTCAGCTCGGATCCTCAGCTGGCTCAGCAGTGCCCGGAGCCGCCCCTCAGCTGCCCCGGGGGCCTCCTGAGGCCCCAAGCACAGGAAGATCCGGAGCCGAGCACTGTGCCAGGCAGGCACCATGCTCAAGATGGTTGCCATCTGCAGCAGGAAAAGACCACAGACATCCACATAGCCAGGCCCGCCCCGAGGCCGTAGCAAGTTGAGGGGCCACACGTCCACATGGTGTGGCTGAGAAGTGCCCCCAGATACCCGGCTTAGCCGTTCAGGGGGCAAGGACCCACAGGCCCTGGCGAGAACCACGTTCTTGTTCATCTTAAGGGCATCCGCCATGGTGGCCACATAGTCCTGGGGACTGAGAGCCCGGGGGCTCCCAGGAGCCCGAGGGGGAGGGAACAAGGTGCTCAGGGATGGGGACCCCCCCTCCCCAGTGCCGTCTGCAGATTCCGAGAAAGCTGGGTCTGTCAGGAAATGGTCCTGGGGTGAAGCATCATCATAGAAACCCAGGACCAAGGTGTTGGGCTTCATGCCACCTGGGGGCAGAGAGGGGGAGCGGGAAGGAACAGACAGAAATCACACTCACACCCTAATATTCATCAAGCTAATACATGCCCACTCAGGCACACTGGTGTGCCTGAGTGGGTACCTATTAGGCATGGCACTGTGTGGGTTCTTAAGGCAACACTACTCACATTTGCATAATGACTTCATTTCCCTAAACACTTTCACTGGCACTTATTTGACTATCTTGGTTACCGATCTCCATTGAGGTAATCAAGAGTTTGGCTACTGGGGTTCTCTCAACTGATGAGCACCTTCTTCTGGTCCTTGGAGAGTAGAACCAAGTTCATTCCACACCGTTTCCCTAACAGCCTGATGAGTCCAGGGCAGTGTCCCAGACCCTGCTGTGAGAGGAGGAAGGCTGGCCTGTGCAGCGTGTTCTGACTCCTGCAAAGCCCGGGGATGCAGGGATGCCCGCCCGGGGATGGTGCCTTCACAGCACCATCCCTGAAGGGACTGACCAGGAGCCAGGTCCTATTGGAAGCACTCTGCTCGTTAACTCATTTAATCCTGGAAACAAGGTACAATTCTTCCATATCACACATAGGGAACCGGGAACTTGAGGCACAGCATAAGGAAGTAACTTGCCCAAAGTCTCCCCGCTAGTAGGTGCTGGGGCCAACACATGAACACAGACAGCAGTCTAGTACCAAACCAGTGTGTGTGCAAACCACAACGTGCCAAGTTCCTGCCAACAGTTCCTGATTTGTAACACAGGCAGCGCCCCCAGACTCCTAAATCTGTCTAACTCGAATTTGTATGCAAGTCGGGACAATCAAGAAACGTACCACTTATATCCAATGTCAGTCAAATGTTTGTCTTAGTACACAGTGTACCTTTCCCTGCATAAAAAACATTAAAGAAACACGAAAACATCTTTAACATGATGGGGGTGGTGGTATGCCATTGAGGCGGTTCCAACTTAAAGCAACCCTGTAGAGGGTTTTCCGAGGCTGTAAATCTTTACCAGAGAAGAAACCTCTATCTTTCTCCTGTGGAGCAACTGATGGCGAGGTTAGTAGCCCAACTCGTAATCCACTATGCTGTTGGTTGGTGGTTATGTGCTGTGGAGTTGGTTCCCGCTTACAGCGACCCTACACAGGGTTTCCGAGGCTGTAAATCTTTACAGGAGCAGAAAGCCTCATCTTTCTCCTGTGGAACCGCTGGTAGTTTCGAACTGCTGACCTTGAGGTTCATAATCACTACATGACCAGAGCTCTTCTAACATAGCCTGTTCTGACTCCTGCAAAGCCCGGGGATGCAGGGATGCATGTTTGAATGCACATCCCAAAGTAGATAGAGCTCATTTGTTATTAGAACCAACACTGACTCATTGTGATCTTATAGACTGTTTCCAAGGAGCAGCTGGTGAGTTTGAACCACTGACCTTGCGATTCAAACCAACCTGGAGGTCTAGCGCCACACCAGGACTCCCAGAACCATCATAGTTGCCTCAAATTTTTAATAGGCTTTACATAGAGCCCTGGTGTGGCGTTGTAGGATCAGCACTGGACTGCTAACCACAAGGTTGGTGGTTCAAACCCACCAACTGCTCCTCGGAAACCCTAGATGGGGTCGTTATGAGTTGGAACTAACTCGGAAGCATTTAACAACAACAGGTTTCCCAGAGGTTGGTTTCAAACGGGGACTACCCCGAGGGACCACCAGTGTTAGCACAGCCAGTATACAACACGAAAAGCCCTCCCTTTCATAGGGCGGAACTTGCAGGAAGTCTGAGACCTCCTAAGACTTCCTTGTGAAACACAAATAGGCCACAAAAACCTACAAGTGCATGGAATTCTGTGTGCGCCACGAGAACGCACTGCTTCACAGAGAGACTTTCCCTTTCACATGAACCAAGATAAATTTCCAGAAAGTAGTGACCTCTTTACAGAAATTTCCCACAAAAGGTGAAGAGCTGGAAAGACCAGGCTCTCAGATGTCCCTGGGGCTGGCTAACAAGGCTTGATAATGATTTAAAATACCCCAGGCAGTATAACCACCCTCCCCCGACACACACAAGGCTAGTCTTATGACACCCTCCTGAGCATGTCCTCAGTGGCCCTAGGCAGAGAGAGCAATGTCCAAGGGGACTACAGGTACCACATGATTCTCCAGGACCAAGCAGCCCAAGGCCAGAGACCTCCATTCTAAGAGACACGCATGAAGCTGGGAACCCTCACCGTGTGCCTAGCATCCTTTGTACTTTGTGGGCTGGCCCATGTTGCAATGTTCCCTACGTCTCTACCCAATGCAAGGCCTGGTTGAGATACTATCTCTCTCCCCGTAAAACCTTTACTGCCCACTCCAGTGCATCATTGGCCTTCCTTTCTCTAAACTCTGGTGCTGAGAAACCATTTACCCTAGATTTCCTGGGGCAGTTCCAGACTCACAGAATTACTCTTCCATTGTGCCCAGAAGTACAACGGGCTTTCAGAGTCTGTGGCCCAATTTTTGGTCACCCCATCTCTAACCCTCAGCATTTCCTATTAGCGCTAATCACAACCACATCTGCGTGGTAGGGTTGTTATCTTTAAGCTCTGCAGTTTTATCTGCACTGGATTCCTTTTGGGGTTTGTAATTTGTGATGGGCCCTCTGAGAGGAGGGAGGGGAGACTTAAGGAGGTCAAGAGGGGGCTGGAGGAGACGGGGAGGAGGGGGGAGGAAACAGCTCACCAAGGCCTGAGATGCGCAGCAGGTGCTGAGCCCCCTGGCGCACAGAGGGGGAAAGGGTAAGGCCCACAAAGGCCTTCACTTGAGCACGGTCCACCAGGCTCAGCCAGGCCCCATACTGTGGCTGCACAGGGTCCGAGGGCAGGTAATCTACACAGAAAAGACACAGAGAGGGCAGCCCAATGAAGCCAAACCCCTTGACTTTTTCCTAGACTCCAAATCCCAAATGGACACAGAAAAATGTTTAGGCAGCATGTGGAAACTTGGGTGGGTCACCAAGAACGTCTGAGACCAAGGAGGGTAGGGAGGGCGGGGATGTGAGGAGGACCACGACAACTCACCAAGGTCGCCCAAGGTGACATGACCCAGCACATACAGGCCCCCCTTCTTGAGCTGGTTGGCCAACCGCAACAAAGGCAGGGCCCCCCGGGGGTTCCCCACCAGCAGCAGCAGCTGAGGCCGCCAGAACTTCACGTGCTCCTTCCGGACGTCCAGCCGGAGCAGGTACTTGCGCACCTGAGGACAGGGATGAGGTGTGGGGAGGAAGGGCAGCCACTCAGGGCCTCTCGGACAGGAACACCAACTCCAGCCGAGGGAACAAAAGGCCCCCTGAGAGGCGGGCTTTCCTACAAGGCTCCCTGCACCCCCCTCCTCCAAGCTCCCCCAACCTGGTGGAAAAGCAAGGCCTGGCTGACATAGCCCCAGCTGCTGGGGCCTCCTCGAGCTGTGAGCAGGGCGGAAAGCAGGCCCATGAGAAGCAGAGAGCCGCTGGCAGCCCCGGGGCTGATGAGAAACATCATGAGCAAACAGGAGGCTACCCCCAGCAAGCAGGTGTGCCAGGAGAACAGGTTGAAGGTGGGGCTAGAGGTAGACAGAGACAATGAAGAAGACTCAGAAGATTGCAGCTACACTCCAATCAATCCCCACCCCTGCCCCCGCCGCAGCCCTCAAGTCTCCCCTATCCCTCCCTCTGTGGGGACACAGGCATCTCCTTCTCTCACCGGAAGTTGGGGGCTGAGGCCCACTCCAGGCTCAGACAGGACAGGTCCACTGCGGCATAGGCCACCAAGTAGAAGACGGTGACCACAGCGGCCAGTGTGTTCAACTTCCCAGCCAGGAGCACCAGCTGGATGAGGACCAAGAGGCTGGGCACTGATACCCAAGGCCAGCGCATCCCCCACCAAAGACCCATCAGCCTTGCCTTGTTCAGTACGTCCCTCACTAGTTAACCAGCTCCAACTCCCTGTGGCCTGTGGGTGTCAGAGTAGAACTGGGCTCCACGGGATTTTTAGTGGCTGTGATCTTTTGGATGTAGATTACCAGGCCTTTCTTCTGAGTGTCTCTCTGTGGACCTTTTGGTTAGCAGTAAAGCATGTGAACATATTTCCACCAAGGGGACTCTACAGTCTCTCCTAGCTGGGGCCCAACACCTCCGCCGTCCTGACAGCAGGTGATCCCAGGTAGGGGGTGGGATAGAGTAGCTAGAAGAGGCTCACTCACCTGCACTAGGGCCCAAGAATACAGCACGGCTCCCCAGGGGTTTCCTCCTCTGGACACAATCTTTGCTGGTGCCAAGATCACTCCTATGAAAGCAAATATGGGCAGCCACATCAGCCTGGGGCAAGCAGGCCCACAGCAGATGCCCACAGGTATGTCCAGAGCCCAACAAGGAGGCGAGGAGGCGAGGAGCAGTCACCAAAGAGGTCGTCCTGGGCCAGGGCGTGGAGGATGCGAGAGGCGCCGATGAGTGAGCTCATGGAAGCAGAGAGTGACGTGGCGTAGACGCCGATCAACACCAGTGGGGGCCACAGGCTGATGGCACTGAAGAACCCATAGTCTTCCTGCAGCAGGGTCCTAGGAGGGAGGACCAAAGAAGACCACAGATAGCCCAAGTGCAAATATCACAGGATTCGGCGAGAAAAGCACTCACAGTACGACCAATGTGCGCAACCGACCCGGCCTCACTCTCAAGGGTCAGAGCGAAATGCCAGATGTGCCGAGGGGAGTTCCTGGGTGCTCACTGGCGATCATTTGGCCACCCCCAGTAGTGTATACACAGGAAACATGAAAATACAAACTGACTGGGAAGTCCCACTTACTCCCGCACCCAAATAAATGCTTGTATGATGGGTACACGGGGTCTCATCACACAGCCAGTCCCAATCCCAGCTACAGCTACAGCAGTTCCACCCCAAAACCTGGGTATCTGCTCCTCAGCATGGCCTCCCCCTTTATAGCCACAGCCCCCAGGCACCTGTCACAGGTAAAGCTGGAGAAGAAGAAGAGCAGGCCATAGATGAGGAAGGTGTAAGCCACAGCGATGATAGTCCCCAGGGGGATGGCACGGCTGGGGTCCTTCAGCTCCCCTGCAGGAGGGGGACAGAGGAGGACAGGTCAGGTGTCTCCACACGCCCCAGGGCCCCAGGAGGCAGTGGGCAGACACTCTCACCTGACATATTGGCCCCTGCCATGATACCCGTGCAGCCATTAAAGAGGACAGCAAAGACACTGGCAAAGGTCATCATGGCCCCGGTAGTGTAGTCCTGGGCGTAGCCAGCTGAGGGAGGGTTGTTCCCAGGAGGGAGAGGTCAGCATCCTACCCAGGCCACCGTGTCCTCGCATTCCACAAGCCTCTGCCTCTCCCACCACCCTCAGGAAGACCCCAACCCAGACCCCCTGACTGGCCCTAGTTTAGAGCAGATCACTTCCTCTCTCCATCACAGTCCTCTGTTCCTTCTTCCAGGCGTTAATTCATGCTTCCCCAGGAAGCCTTCCCTCTCCGCTTCCCCAGCCCAGGGCTTCTCAGTCCATCTCCCAGGGCTTCTCAGTCCATCTCCCGCCGCCTCCCCAGCCCAGGGCTCCCTGCCCTAGCCCCATACAATTATTCTGGTCTTGTCTGCTTGAATCTCACTGTCTTATTTTGCTATTGGATTGTTCCTGAATGAATAACTTCTGTCTCCAACTAGGGTATAAGTTCCTTTTGGGGGGGGGGGGGCTGTCTTGTGGTCTCTCTCATGCCCCACTGGTAAAAACCATAACAGACAGATGTTGATTAAATTCAAATGCCCTCAGATCCAGACACCTGCCCCGGGGTTCTCAGACACCTGCTCTCTTCCAGGGGCTTTAAGGGCCCAGACCCCACATGTCCAGAGAACTCTGGCACCACATTGCCCAGCTCACCAGCCAAGTTGGTTTTCAGGGTGCTGCTATTGAAACCAGTGAAGTGGCCGACCTGGGGGGGCAGGGAGGAACCATTGGGGCCCTGCCGAGGAGTCAAGACAATGTCCTTGGGCCCCACAGCCACAAAGCTGACCAGCACCAAGGCCAGGGAGCCGGAGACCAACAAGAACGTAAGGAAGGAGGCTCGGGCATAGAGCCCAGCTCCCAGGGTGCAGACCCCGCCCACCAGGCCCAGCAACAGAGAGCCATAGAGAAGGTTCCAGCCATAGCCTTGGGGCAGGACGTGAAGACCACTGGGCCCTGTCACATCTAAAAAGAGGAAGGAAAAGAGTTAAAGGTCTGATATTCCCTGTCGTTGTCCCCCCACCCCCACCCCAGCCTCTAGGAGGGACGCAACCCCAACCATGTCCCAAAGCAGAAACAGACCCAGTCCATCCTCAGAGAGACCACCACCTGACTTCCCCCACTCAGCTTCAGCCCAGCATCCCTGCCCTCATGCTGTCCCCACCAATCTCGCTGGGCGAATTCTAGTGCTTGCCTGGCTCTCCTGGACTAGAAGCTCCCTGTGGGCCCGGACAATACCTCAGACACCTGCACAAAGCTAGGTGCACAGAGGCGGCTGGAGAAAGCCAACCGAAAGGAATGACCCTCTGTGCTCCTTTCTGCTCGGGCTTATCTGCTCCCAGCATCCCAGCCCCTGCAAACCCACACAGCTGCCCAGACTGGGGTGGGAGCCCACAGACCAGTCCCGAAGACATCCAGCACGGCCTCCACCAGTCCTAGCACGTAGACAGCACAGCCACAGACGTTAGCCAGGTAGAACATGAGGCCGATGCTGCCCCCAACCTCAGGCCCCAGGGTCCGACTGATCATGACTAAAAGTGGAAGCAGTGGGTGAGCGTTAAGGGAAAAGAAACTGAAATAAAACATGAGGAAGGGGCGAGGGAACCAAGCTCCCCAGTGGTCCTCCACACACCCGTCTCCCGCCGTGGTGCGGCATCCTATACGGTACTGACTTCCTGGCCATGTAGCTTTGCACTAATGCCCTCTGAGTTTCAGTTTCCTCATCTCTCACATCTCTGACAAGCTGGCTAAAGGCCCAAAATAGCAGCAGATGAAACACCTGGTCGGTTAGAGTACCATGTCACTCTTAGAACTCACCTTCCAGGGATGGAAGGTTCTGGCCCTTTCCGCTCCGACCCTAGAGGACCCAACCACCCAGACCCCAGTCCACCACACTGGAGGATACAGTAGGCTCCGCCCCCCCTCACAGCTCCATTGGTGGCGATGGCACAGACAGAAAGGACGGTGAGCGCCAAGATGAAGTAGGCAACCAGGAGCATGGCCAGGGCCTGCAGCAGCCCAGCATGGCCCACCACAAACCCTGGAAGAAGCGTGGCACTGCAGGTCACGTGGTGGCTGGCCCGTCCCCCAGCTCACCGGCTACTCTACTGCATCAGGAGGAAGCTCCAGGATAGAGCTAACCACATGGCCACAGGGAGCCACTTCTCAAGTCAAGCCCTCCATGCACCCACTTCTCCCAGCCACCCCACCCCCCCCCACCACCTCATCCCAGTTCCACCCCTCCCTCACCCACTCACCAATCCTCATGAAGACAACTATACTAAACATGGACAGGACGGTGGGCACCACCACACCCAGGAAGGTGGAGAGCTTCTGAGCAGACGCCCCTCCAGGGCTCCCTGCCCCATTTGTAGGAAAGGTAACCCCCTCCTCTCCCAGGAGCCGGTAGGCCAATAGAGGAGAATTCTCACTTGCCATGGCTGGGAGCAGGCACAGGAAACCACAAATGGGTTGTGGGGCCTGCAAAAGAATTTCTGATGATTGGAAGCAGCTCAACAGGTCCAACACCTCTGGAAGGAGAATCAAACTCATTATCCCCAGGCCAGTTCCTCCGGGGGCTGAGGTCCTTCTCTACTGGCTCAGATCCCACAGCATCCTCTACTCAGCTGCTTCTAGAACTCACGGCAATGGCCACACAGAACTCAGGCACCAGGCTCAATTACGGGGTTTATCAGGAAGGTTTACAAGTTACAAATCGGGATTAGAAAGACTCTTTGAGTCAGGACAGAAGGCAAGCCTCCCCGCCACTGGCCCCTTGGCATCTGCCCTGCACCAGCGATGTTACAAAGCTCTCTCTAAGCACTGCTGATAAATGCGCAAAGGGACTGCAGTCACACATAACCCTCAGGCTGAAGGCGCCCAGCTCTAGTTCCCCAATTAAGTGCCTGGAGACACTCCTGTCCACAAGTGAGCCTCCTGCCCAAAGACACTTTAATTGCTTCCTGGGCTGAGAAGCCCACTGCTCTGTCTGGTGTTCGGGCTCCTCGACCACTCCTGTGATGTCCCAGCTTCCTGTGCTTGGACTGAAGATGTTCAACGCACAGGGATCTTGAGGTACAAGAGATGTCCTTCACTCCTGGCTCTTCTTGATGGTAGTGAGATTCCCACCCTTCCTTCCTATTTCCGAGACGGTTCATCTTATATTGACGTTAATTAAAGTTTCAAGTTTTTACGATCACAATGAACCCTGTTAACAGTCATTCACTACTGAGCCATATAATCCTATCAGTATCTTGTCCCAATAGGAAGGAGACTATAGCTAGAAGAGGCACTGAATTAATTCACTGCACCACACTCTCCAAAGCCATGGTCTGAACATTGGTGAAGTCAAAAGCTCTCAGCACTTGGATATCCATCCATCCCTTCCCCGGATCCCTGAGACTAGGCTTAGCTACGGCTCTGGAAAGAGCAAACACCCTCTGGCAGCAAAGGTTTTTCTCCAGTCTTCCCTCCAGCACTAACAGTACAAGAGGAAGCAAATCTCACAAAGGGGAAGTGAGTGAAGTTAGGGAACTCTCCACACCCACTCAGAGACAGACATCTGAGCCACCCCTAATCAAACCTCTCATGCAAATACCTCACCCAAGGACCCTAAGAAACCCAAGACTCCCCAGGTCCCACAAGCTTACAGCCCTCCACCTCCTCTCCTGTTATAGGAGTTGTTAGGTGCAAACTCATAGTGACTGACTCTATATACACCTGAATTAAACACAGTCCCGTTTTATCCTCACTGAAGACCATTATTACAGCCACTGTGTCCCTCCATTGAGGGTCTTCCTCTCTTTCAATGATTTATCAGGCATGATGTCCTTCTCCGGTGAATGGTCTTTCCTGGTAACAAGTAGTAAGGCAACTTGTCTAGTCTTCACTTCCAAGGAGCTTTCTAGCTGTCCTCCTAAGACGGATTTATTCATTCTTCTGGCAGTCCATGATAGATTCAGTACTCTTCGCTAACACCGTAATTCAAATGTATCGATCCTTCTTCGGGCTTCCTTACTCATTGTTCTGGGCCCCACCACATTCCTCCCATCACACGGGGCGCCCCCAAACTCGCCTGCCAATCCCAGCATCCCTCAACTTGTTGTTGTTGTTGTTGTTAGGTGCCGTGGAGTCGGTTCCAACTCACAGCGACCCTATACAGGGTTTCCGAGGCTGTAAATCTTTACGGGAGTAGAAAGCCTCATCTTTCTCCCGCGGAACAGCTGGTAGTTTCGAACTGCTGACCGTAAGGTTAGCAGTCCGATTCGTAACCACTACGCTACCAAAGCTCCTTATAGCACAACAAAAACACAGGCCGGCTGACATCACTTTCTCCCAGCGCGGGTCCAAAGGGGCCTAGAGCGCCCCATCCCCAGCGCGGGTGGCACTCACCCAGGCCCGTAGGGCACAATCCCGCGACGCAGGTCCCCCCTCCCCGAGAGCGCAATGGTCCGCTACCCACAGAGGAGCTCCGGCCGGAAAGATCTCGGCGGCTACCGGGATGCCAGGCCCGGAGCCCGTCCCCACACCACCCGGCGCCCGCCCTCCCCGCCCGACACCCCATTGGCCACCGGCCGAGACCCCGCCCCATGGGCGGACTCTAGAGGCCCCGCCCATTTCCGCCTCCAGCTGTAATCGCAGCTCCTGTTCCACGTGCGCACCTTCGGCCTCCCTGGAGCGCTGTTCACATTGCGTCTTCCACCAGGTGTGAGCAGCAGGCCCTACTGTCCACGCCCCACACCCCGCGTGGCTAGTGCACACAAACTCCTAGGCGCCACTGTCTGAAAGGGGTGCGAGTTGACGGCGGAAGGGCGGGGTGGAGTTGGGCGGGGCCACCGCACCTGGTGCAGGTGTGTCGCCGAGGATTACAAAGATTCCTGAGGCCCTCGTCCTTAATGGCCCTAGTCCTCAAATCCCAGATTGTCTGCTGGGCCCCTTGCCTTATCTCTACGTCCCGCGGAACCCACCCATCGCGCCCGTCCCTGGCCACCGGTTGCGCTCTTCACTTTGACCACCGGAGGGAGCTATTGGCCGCCAATTCGATGGAAGCCCCGGAGGTGCAGGACATCTTGAATCTGCATCTGTTTCGGTGCCGGGCCACAGTGTTAGGATTTACGAAGCTCCAAGAGTGAGATCCTCTTCACACTTGACAAGTACCATCAACATCAGTATCATCGACCAGAGTTACCTCACCTGTAAAGTAGGGACTCATTTAAACCTACTTCATAAACTTCTTTTGGGAGTTCTATGAAGGAATTGCTGAGGGTCAGAGGTGAATTGAAAGAGAAGGGATTGCATGTATTGAACTAAATTATTTGCATATGTTGTTGTTGTTAAGTGCC